TCGACGTTCCAGACTCAGACCAGAACGACGGACCGACGACGTTCGTGACAAAATCATTCAAATCAATTTTAAGAATACAATTTTATAAAAGCCTGTGTGTTTCAACATTGGTATGTGGTGGTGGGGTACGACCAGCTACTTTCTGTACTGAGGACTCCGTATATTTAATATCTTTTTCATTTATTTGTAAGTAGTGCTGCTGTTCTAATATACGAGTATATTAGTGTTGTACTCAGGAAGTTTGCTTTAATATTCTTTTATTAAATGAACGGTGCTTTTAAAGGCAAGGAGTTTACAGAGAGGAAGATAATTGTGAAAAAAGTTTCCAAGCTTTCAAATAAACTAAAAATTGCCAGTCAACAGTTAATGGAAAGATTAGAGCTAGATTACTGTTCTCAGTGCCAGTCATAAAAGACACGATTGTAATTGTCCAATACACTGCTACATATTTTGAGAGTCTTGCCGATAGAGGTGAAGTCTTGGACTTACTGTACTAATCTATTAAGCTTCTTGTTGTATATTCATGCCAAAGGAAACAACTGTTCGTAATAACAATGTCGCTTTATTCTAAAAGCGAAGAGCATAAACATAAATCAAAGCCAGTTCGCCGGTTACCAGTAGATGTCCCTTTACACGCACAAATAATCAATCACCAGGAGAATCGCCTTACAGCACCTCTAACAGCCTAATAATACTTGGCGCTAATTCGCTCACACTCTGCACTATCTCGGGACTGTCACTGTTCCGGCCTCTCGGGCCGGCCGCTTTATACCTCCGAGCCTGTGGAGCGAGTCTTCATTTACTCGCGCCGTTCCGGCTCAGTGCCTCGTCGCCGCTGCCGCCCCGCCACCTAGCAACTCTCATTGCTGGGCCCGACGTCCGGTGGCCAGTGCGCCGTCAGCCACGGTGCGCTGCTGGGCCGAACACTTATCAACACAACATTTATTATTCTAGGAGAGGGAGACCTGTTTTATTAATCAAAATAATTCACAAATGGGCCAAAAGAAATTATTTTCTTTGGTGCGTTTAGTGGGCACGAAACATTTATCCAGCGTATACTACGGAAGGAAACTTTCTGAAGTGAGAAATAACGTGATTTGTCGGAAATAATCAGGGGCCGTGATTTATGTGATTTACGTGTTTTTTCTGTTAACTAAAACATCCCGTTTCAACGTTAGGAAGCAGCGTTTGACAGTCCGCCGCCAGAGCCCTTCGTGAAAGCCAGCCGGCGCACCCTCGAGAATTGCGAACGAGTAGACCACGTCGTAGGCTGCCTGAGGCTTGAGGGGGAAGAGGGAACAACACTGGGTTTATGGACGAAAGGAGCACTCGGCAGAGTATGCTGTCTGGACAGTGGCGATCTCAGCGAGTGCCTTGACAGGTCTCGAAGAGAGCACACGTTTGTAAGAGAAGTACATGTGACAATGAACGAAGGAAGTGTGAGATTTCTCTCCACCAAAAAGATATCTTACCTTAAAAAAACAGTTCTTCGCTCTTGTCTGTGACAAGAGACCCTCTTCTGTCGCTTCTTGATGACTCCCACTCCGAGGGTTTCTCATTGAAGTCCCCGGCTATTAAGACTTCTCCTGTAGCACCACGCATACTATCGTCTAGGTTATGCAGTTCTAATTCGAATGTATCCAGAGAAGAGCAGCTATAGATTCGAATAGAACCTACTTCGATCCATACAAAGCCCTTGTTCGTTTCGTCGATCCTTCTGATTTTCAGATCGGGGTTGGCGACGAGGAGAGCTGATTTACCGGATAGGTCCTGGTACCATGTTCCTGAGATTGGCTTCCAGTATTGTTCTGATATTATGGCAATATCTGTCCTTTTTTCTTGTACCGTTTGCAAAAGTAGGTCTTGTGCTTGCCTTTAACCAGCCTTAATTTGCAGGAATTTTCGCGTTATGGAACGACGTACAATATTTACTGCCCGGACGGTGTTGGTGTCGTATTGTCGTCCTTGAAGGATAAGCAGGCAGTCTCCGTAGTACACTCTTTTCTTTGATGGTCTTCTCCACAGTTCCAGCAGAATCTTCTCCTGTCGAGGCCGTTGCATCGTTTGGCGATATGGTCATATGCGTGACTCTTGTCGCATCTGATCACCTCCTTCCGTACAGTGATACTGCAGTACACCGTATTTTTTGTTATTTTCTGCTTTTGGAGAACTAAGGTCAAGTTCTGTGGAAATTTGACTTGCAGGCTTTAGGCCGGCGTACCCTTTCCTTAAATAGCAGTTCATCTCCCCCATATCTCTTAGAATTGTTGCCTGTTAACCGAGTCTTCTAATGATTGGGCATTCCTCCCAGTCATTTTCATTAACTTGGGCGTTCTGCGAGCTCGCCAAGGGGCTCGAGGTGCCTTGGCCCGCTTCTCGTCCATTTACGTCGCGCGGTATCGCGATCACCGTAGAGCCATCAGCCATTTCCGCCGTGGCCGCTAGTGACGACCGCAACGCCAGGGGCCGATGAGGCCGCAGTAGTTATGCATGTATGAGAAAGGGGGGAGGGGAGGAAGGGAGAAAGAAGAGAGAATTTGCTCACCCTAATTGGCATGACCACGAGCCGCCACTAACTTCATATTAAATAGTATTATGAAGAGCAGTAAAGCTGAAAGCCCGCTAAAACGTGCGATCTATCTGACATGAAATGTACCTGTCGAAGCTGTAAACCATATAGCGAAACGTAATACATGTAAAAAACATTTTAATGGAATCCAAATATATACGTTCTCAAATGATGTGTTTCTGTTTTAATCTATCTGTGGTTGCCAGGTGTCCACTATATGAGCGAACAGTCAGTTTTTTTCACATTATGTTCACTATTTTATTCATAAAATAGAGAACATTTTTTTTATTCAAAGAGTTTATCATGAAATGGTACGTAATCAAAAGCTATACAGTTTAAGAGAATAAGGATAAATAATTTGTAAGAAAATATATAATTTAATCGTAATTATTTTTTACTATTCCCCCCTTGTTGACCGCTATTTTTGGAAACACAAAAGGCAACCCTAAATCTCTCCAATCTATTATTTTATATCTCGAATTAGATGATAGAACAATTATTAACAACTAAATAGGTAATCAATAAACAATAAGTGATGTAGTATATCATTTTTATTTTGCCTATTAAAATTAAAATTAAAATAATACGTCGGCAACACCGGTGTATCCATCAAGATAAATCTTATGAATCTTAGAAATTTGAATCGTCTTTAGGCCATGAGAGAAACGCTTAAATTAATAAATATTACAAATGAATCACCTGGATATTACTTCTGCTATTAATCAATTAATACATAATTATCTTATTAATGAAATCAATTAATAAATAATTATCTTATTAATGAAATCAATTAATAAATAATTATCTTATTATTGAAATAAAGTAATAAATAAGTAATCACAAGATAGTTTCTAGGCGGTGTTACTTGCACTCCACAGTTGTATGATATCTTAAATTGGACAATATTACAAATATAAGAATAATGGCCAAAACAACACTGCACTTTAAAAATTCTTTCCCTTCAGTAAGAAGGAACCATAAGACCATTATGCCGTCAGCAGACCGTATACTTCATGTACTCTTATATCAATACATTGCGAATACTTATTGTACAATCATGGTATGTAAATGTGCGAGAAAGCAAATTACTAATATTGGCGCTTTCAATAGGAAATTGAATTAATTATTTTTCTTATCATTCATTCAATTTTTCTCGTGGCCTGTAGTTGGTGTGAAACTCTATGAAATAATTCTTTAATTTCAAGAAGAAATTTCGCAAAACTACTCGTTTTTAGAAAAAAAATGTATATGACCTTTTTTGAAAAGCTACTTTTGTACAACGTACTTAATATAAAATCTCTATCTTCAATTTGGATTAGTTTTGAAAAGTTTTTAGTAATTTTCGAAAAACTGAGTAAAATCCGAAAATGGGACTAGCGCCATATTTCTTACCCTTATTATATATGTGGAGATGAATAAACGAAAAAAATCCGAGCGTTTAGAGGAAGAAATTATAATTTTAATTGCAAAAACTAAATGTATTTCAAAAAAAATGTACATTATCTTTTTTAAAGAGGTAACTTTGTCTAAGACAAAAATCTTTATTTCCAAATTTGAGGTTTTAAATTATTTCCCCGTTTTTCGAAAAATAGGGGATGAAAATGAGACTGGCAACATTCTCTTAAACGTCCTTTGTACTACATACAACAAAAAATGTAAAAAAATACCCTTTTTTCTTTTTGAAAATACCCAAGTGGTTTCATGTAAACTACCACCCAAAATTAAAACATCGTGTGGCGTCGTCGGCTGCTAGTAACACACAGACACGGAGTTGTTTCGTACAGATTTATTCACAAGTTTTGTACACTATCTACACTCCTCGGAAACTAAAGGAAAGGAAAGGCAAAAAGAAAAGGAAAGGAAAGGAAAGGGAAAAAAAGGAAAAAAAGGAAAGGAAAGGAAAAAAAGGAAAGGAAAGGAAAAAAAGGAAAGGAAAGGAAAAAAAGGAAAGGAAAGGGAAAAAAAGGAAAGGAAAGGGAAAAAAGGAAAGGAAAGGAAAAAAAGGAAAGGAAAGGGAAAAAAGGAAAGGAAAGGAAAAAAAGGAAAGGAAAGGAAAAAAAGGAATAGAAAGAAAAAAAAAGGAATAGAAAGAAAAAAAAGGAATAGAAAGAAAAAAAAGGAATAGAAAGGGAAAAAGGAATAGAAAAGGAAAAAAAGGAATAGAAAGAGAAAAAGGAATAGAAAGATAAAAAGGAATAGAAAAGGAAAAAAGGAATGGAAAGGAAATAAAGGAATGGAAAGGAAATAAAGGAATGGAAAGGAAATAAAGGAAAGGAGGGAAAGAAAAGACTATGTTATCCTTCGAATCAATTAGTTCAAATGAAAATAAAATACTCTTTGCGAAAGTAAATTTATATGCTAATCGCTGCTATTTCGAGAATATTTCAAATATGAATATATTATTATATATGAAGACTATTTCGACTTACCTACAAGTGTTTCTTACTTCGTGGGGAAGAGTTCTCTTGTCTTTCAGTGCTTTCATTAATCTTATTGAGTTCGCGAACCCATATCCTGATGAAAGGAAACACGTCCTGGGAATAAAGGAAAATTGTGGTCAAGGTTGTGAACTGTTTTCCGTGAAATTTTTGTCTAAACATGTTAGAGAAATTTTAATAAGATCTCGAAACATCTTGGCGTTTTATATGTATTTTAATTAAGGTCTTTCTATTTTCTAATTTTTTATCTCGTCGCTTTTTAGCCGTTACGGACCTCTCAGCGACCTGCCGAAACAGCCAAATTTAAATGTCTTTCCATAGTCATTTTCCTACGATCGCTGTATTTCGGGATAGGACCTTCTGCTCTTCAGCTGACGAAGCCGGCCTGTCTGTCAGTTTTAGTTAGCATCATTGCCAAGACATTCCGTAGGCCTATTTCGATCCGGAGGAGGGGTGCGTTGACCAATCGCTACAGTCAGAACCTTCGTGTTTATGTGATTGGCGCAAACTACCGTGGGGCGGGAAGTCGCTGTTTCCGGGCGCGGAGGCCTCGATTGTTTACGTATGAAGCGGAAATATCGTCTTTCCCTGCCGAAGGAGAGATTTTTCCTGCGCGTACGCCATGACGAAAAATATTTCTAAGCAGGGTTTTTCGTCCAGAATTACTGTCAATTAACCAGTAAATATTTAGCATTTTAGCAACAATTTTACGAACTTTTAAAAATCAATATGTAACTCTGTCAAACTTGCTATATTAAAATGTTTATCTCAGGCACAATTAGAGGATTCTTTCCGCCCGTTTTAGCTCATATTTTGAATTTGTTTATAACATTGTAAATTGTTTCAAAATTGTTAATTCGCGGTTTTCGGTACTGGGACGTCGGGAGACTCTTCCCCCTTTAGATCAGCAAAATTTTGAATTTGTTTAAAAATTTACAAATGTTGAAATTTTGTCTCTGAATCTCCTTTAAACGCAATACAAAATTCCGCAATCCGATCGGTGCTATCAACTTCCGTATTCGTGATATTTAATTGTTTATTAGAACTTAGCATCTCATAATCACCCCCATTTTTAGAACTCATTCCATTCGCTCTCCACACACAAGCGTCACGTTCATTGGTAGTTTCATGGGATCGTTGCACTAACAATGTTTGTCTCACAGCAACTATGATTGTTTTTTAAAGATTCAAACTTTCCTTCTTATTCTAAACAACCATTAAAACTCCCGTTTCAATACTTCGCTGAAGTGCTATTAGTATATAAATAAATTATCTGTAAAGATTCTGTTTATAAAGATATGTTGCAAAGTTCATTAAGTCGAAAGGCTGTCTCAAGCAGTAATAGTGCCAATGATATTTTCTTTCAAGGGCAAGTTGAGCTATGGAAGGGTTCAGTATTCCGGTACCTTGCAGCAAAAATTATTGCCATTGATGAACGCCGCCCAAATCATGAATCGTTGCTCAAGACGCACGAACATATACAAGATGCGATTAATTCATGTCCCCACCAGAGATTTGAAATTTCAAAAATATTAGACTGATAAAATTAAAGAAAAGAAACGTGTGAGTGATTAGGTTGAATTATTAAAAATAATGTGCTCACTTTCTTTAATTAGAAAGAAAATTATAATTAAGGTGAAAGTACTCTCTTAAAACCTGCAAATGCTAAGCAGGCACTTAATAAATTAACATGTTAATAAATTTCTTGTTAATGCGAATTCAATTTCCAAATCAAAAATTGAATCGAAATTTTAATAAATATATAAATAATTCTATTTTATTTTACATATCATTCTGTTTAAGGCCAGTATAATACAACCAAGATATTTAAAAATTGTACTTGTTCTGTAGGGTTCTATAGTTTTCAATGATTATTTTTAGCGAATCGTGCTTCGGAAAACGGGGAATTTTCGAGAAAATCTTTTACTGTCGGGCCCTGGTAACAAAAAATAGATAAACCCTATTCCTATATATAGTAAATAACGTCATCTAATCATGTATTGTAGCCAAAACCGATGTTTTGTAGGCCCTTGTGACCGAAAAATCTATTTACGGCGAAGCGTCTGTCTGCCTGTCCTAACGCGGTACAGACTAGCGCTCCAATTTTTTCAAAAATAAATATTCCTCCTACCATCTCAACGAACTCGACGCTTTGTGAGATTCAAACGGTTGTATTGATATTTAAGGGTCTTTTACAGGAAGACTCAACATGAAAAGCTTTAAGAGAAAAAGCACTTGTCCCTGGCAAAACACCTAAATATCTTTCATAGGTGTTGTGGTAAGATATCTTTGGCATTTTTAAAATAATTAAAGATGTCATTGCCAACAATGTTTTTTAATTCAATAGCAGCTTTCGATGGCAAAACGACTAGTCGTTTTGTGGCTTCCATCTAGCAGACAACTGATGATGATGGCTAAGCCATCGAAAGCTGCTATTGAATTAAAAAACATTGTTGGCAATGACAACATCTTTAATTATTTTAAATATCTTTCCACAAAATAATCTACTCAGTGTGGTGCAGCTCAAATTATCAAAATCATGTTTGAGATTTTGTGTGTCTTAATATTACCATAAGATTCCTGCTATAACAGAGTAAAATTCATGGTTGTGAAATACTTTTTAACGACACGTGTATTGTACGATATCTTATTATTAGGCGGTGCATAGTAATAAAATAGCATTTTTCTCTTTTCACTTTAAAACAATTCCGTTTAGTAGAGACATTAATGATATATAATGACAAAAGGAAATTATCCAATTTATACTTTTTTGTTTTTGCATTTTTCGTGGATTTGTATAAAATAG